AAGAAAGCTAGCGGACAGGACCTTTCTTTTTATCACGGAATGGCCGATCCCTGAGTCGCCCCAGGAGACATCTCCCACACTTGTCGTTGGCTATCTCCCTTCCCGGGGTGGGTTGGGCGGGCACTCAAAACTTCCCCCCCTTATCAAGGGGTCTTTATCCGAAACGGCGACGGTATCAACCATGCGTTTCAAGACATGTTAGAAACATGACATCTCGGAACAGAGGTTCCTACAAAAACATCTTCGATGTTTTTGTTATCAAAAGGGAGAAAACGCTAGCACACATTATCGTACCTCGTACCTCGTTACGAGTACGTGCACTAGCTAATCCCTTTTACCCACCACCATCCCACTAGCCACCACTAGTGAGGGCTAACGGTGAGAGACAAAGAAGCTAGCGGACAGGACCTTTCTTTTTATCACGGAATGGCCGATCCCTGAGTCGCCCCAGGAGATATCTACCTCCCTAGCGTAGCCGACTGGGGCTACCAAGGCTTTAGCTTCCGGATCTTCCCGGCCTTCCCTACCTGTCCTACCGGCGCAGCCTTGCGCTTCTTTAGCTCGCTGTAGAAACTGTCCGCGCAGTTCAACAGCTCATATCTTCCCCCTTTAGAGGGACCCGAAAATTTGGGCAAAACTATCGAACTTCACGCCGAATCCAAGTCAAACTGAGGTCGCACTTCTTAGCGGCCAGCTCTGCCGTCAGCTCAAGCAGTATCAGTGAAGAAGGATACTTCGTAGTCATAGCCTTCTTCACTAGCGCCTCGTTTGACTGGTTATCGGTGAAGCCCCTGAGCGCAACTCTTGAGCTCTGCCTATCCTCCGAATCTCGGACCCAGAGCTTAACGGCGATCAGGAGTTCTAGAAGGAGCCCAGGACTTCTTGACTTCCAGAGAGAACCATGGCCCATAGCAGCCAGGTACTTTTTCCAGGAAGCCACCGACCCATGCCCGACCGTCTTCGGCCTTAGCGTCCGTGTCCGTGAAGAATGACATGGATAGCAGAGGACCTTTAGCGCAGGGAAATCGTGGCGAATCATCTCCTTAGCCGCGACCCACGCGGCCCGGACCTTGTCCCGGAGCCACGCCACAGTTGGCCCTCCTCTCCGTGAGGCCTGGGCGGTAGCTGGAGTATTGCCTAGCCACTCAACCCTGTATCCCCCACAAGTCTTCGAGCACTTGAAGGGGCGCAGTGAAGTAGCAGTAACTAAGCACGATAGCTATCCGCCCTCTCTTGATGGCTAGCGACTCTAGGTCGTCGGCGTACAGCAGCATGTCTATCGGGCAAGGCCCTAGCAGGTGGTGGGCCATCTCGGGAGTCCAGCTGATGCCAGGAACCCACGCTCCTCCGCCAGGTGTTTGAAGCGGCGGTGGGCCTTCTTGATATCGCCCACTATCGAGAAAGGATACTCCTTCCTCTCCATAGCTTCCAGAAGTAGCTGTTTCTTCTCTCGGGCCCAGTGCCCTAAGCTTGTCACGGCACTTTATCCGGTGATTGACCCTCACACCATGGGTAGCGTGGATGAGGCGTTTCTTGTCCTTCTCCTCGTCTTCGACTATCACCGCCAGGGCGGCTATCGCGGTGTTCTCGCCAAAGCGTTCCTTGAAGGTATCGGGGCTCATCTTCTCCATGAGCCCCTCTTCTATCTCCTCATCAAACTTCGCCTTGGCAAAGTCCAGGGTGGATAGTTTTGGGCACCCACGCTAGCGCCGCTTCTCTAGCGGCCACTTCTCCTGCGGCTCAAACACATGTGGAGTCCTAGGTAGCGGCTCCAGGATGCCCACGGGAAGCCCCGTCTCGAAGGGAGGAGGAAGTCTCTATCGGGGTCCTCGCGCCTGAAGAATGGCTCTTATCAACTTTAGCCGCAGAGGCTGTGCCTCCGCGATATCCGTCAGGCCTGGAACAGCTAGGTCTTGAGCCTCTATCCAGCTGCCTATGATATCGAACAGCTCCTCAATAAATTGCTGGTCTGTGACTAGCTTGTCTATGCCTCCAGCTCTAGCTTGTTGCGTAAAAGCTCCTTTTTTGGGCGGGGCCACCTGCCCGGAGAGCAAAGGCCCCCTCCATCATGGAAGTCTCTCGGACCGCCAGGAAGGTCACAAAATCTCGGCAGCCCAGTGCCACCCAGTATCCCCGATCCTCTGGCTCGCATCGGGAACGTATCTGCCACTTCCACGGTGATCTCCTTGGAGTCGTCTCCTTGTTATCGGTGACCTGGGTATCGACCTCCCTCTCCAGGCTGTCGTAGCAGAGGATGCCCAGGAAGTAAATAGCATGACGACTGAGTAGTCCTTACCGAGGCCATTTTGTTATGGGCAAAGGACCCAAGTAGAAGCCATCATTATCAAAGGCCGGGGGACCTGAAAAACAAAAGGAGAAGTCGCAGGCCTCCTCTACTAGCAGCCGTGTAGGCTTAGGGTATCCGGCCCCCAAGTTGCCCTGGTGAAAAACAAAAGCGCGCCAATCAGTCTTAGCTGAGATAGCGGCAAAGGATGGCCACTGCCACATCGACGCAGGACGCTCTCCAGCATGCAGCCCATACGACATAGCGCCCAGGTCTTCGGGCTGTTCTAGCAGAACGAAGGACATCCTCATATCGGAGGCCAGATCTATGACCTCCCAAGTGAAATCGGCAAAAATATTGCCCAGAACGCAGCAGCGACGCTCGGCCGCCGCCAACTTCTCTAGCCCCCGTGGAAAGGCACAGCTTCTCACAGGTCTCGGGCCCTTGCGATTGGCCCAGCAGGCTCTCGAGAAGGTTGAGCAGGGGGGCGAAAGAATTATCCCTGTTGCTGCAGCAGCTTCTCCTTTCCTGGAAAGGGAAAGGTCTATCCAGGGACGTCTCTTGATAGCCACACAGAGCATGTCCATGTTGATCCCTTCTGTAGCGCAGAGCTGTTTGAGACAGCTCTGCATGTCCACCGGTCTCGATGTTGTAGCAGCAGCGCGCGGCGTCCCCGGCAGCCGCCTTGTTGGCCTTAGCGGTGCACTGGTGCCGCGGGTGCGCCCCAAAGCATATAGGGAGCAGACATGGGCGAAGTGGCACTTGGCACCCTTCTTGCAGCCGCCCTTAGCATTGTAGCGGAAGCAGATGGGCTTGTTATCGGGCGTCCTTGAGGAGCCCTTGCCGGACTGCCAGGATTTCTTGTTGTCTAGCTGGCTTTTGCCTCCTCTAGCGGCGCCCTGCTTGCCGCCTTTCTTGCCACCTTTGCCTGGTCTCTCGGCCCCTGCTGGCGGGGCCGGCGGGGGATCATTCACGGGTTCGCGGGTTCGCGGGTTCGCAGGTTCACGGGTTCGCGGGTTCGCGGGTTCACGGGTTCGCGGGTTCGCGGGTTCGCGGGTTCGCAGGTTTACGAGTTAATTCGCGGGTGCACGAGTTCGCGGGTTCGCGGGTTCACGGGTTCGCGGGTTCACGGGTTC